ATAATAATCAGGCTGAAAAAGTCCTAGTTCTTGTACCTTACTACATCCATGGATGAAAAGTTGCTTATTTGTCCCCCATACAGAATGTCATCATTATAAAGACTATAAAAAATAAATATACTATCGTGGAAACAAGAGGGCAATTAATTCATTCATTAATTTCCACTAACTCTATCATTATTTGCTATTATTGTCAACCGGTGACTTCCACGCACAATTTTGTTCCAGTTGTCCTCCATTTTTTATTTCTTTTTTTTGTTTTGTTTATTCACCTGTTTGTTGCAGCAGCATGCTGCCATCACACGTACTCTCCACAGCTGCGAGACGTCCGACTCCACTTCGAACGTTAAATCTTAACGTGTTTACGCTGTCTTCAATTACACCATGTGTGTGGGGTCTACTTTTAGGGTGCGTCATTTCAAACAAAAGTGCTTGTTGTCATGTTGTTCTCTTCAATTGTGAGAGCTTTCCACAGCTGAGAGCATTTAGCCACACATACACACCCAAAAAAAAAAAAAAATGTAACGTCATCATCCTGACAATTTAAAACATTTGGAGGGAGACTCAACATGCACACTAGTGGCCTATTGCCAAGAACGGGTAATACGAGCAAGAAAAAAACCACAACAATGAGAATGTTAAAAAAATTCGTTGCTGTGAGCAAACCGCAGAAGGCGGGATGTAGCGGTCATTTTGTCAGCGGGTGGCAGGGGCCTTCAATCTGGTTTGACGCTGCGAAAACTCCTTGGGGACAATAACATTGGATTTTGATTTAGGAGATCTGTCAAAACACTTGAGAGTGCCGCAAAGGCGGACATTTGCAGCTCGATAGCATGAGAATCAAATTCCCTAAAGTGGGGGGATCAAATTAAAATACAAAATACACAAAGGGTGAAGCTTTACAACACACTTTACATCCATACACTAGTTCAAATCGCACGTTTTTTGGGGGAGCGGCGTGGGGGGGGCATCATAAGTTTAAGTACCGTATTTTCCGCACTATAAGGTGCTTCAGAGTATAAGGCGCACCTTCAATGAATGGCCTATTTTAAAACTGTTTTCATCTGTGGGGCACACTGCATTATAAAGTGGATAGAATAGATGTTACAATAGTGGCGGCGGTTGCGTTATGCATCCACTAGATGGAGCTATGTTAAAGGAAATACAATACAATACCGTTTTATTTATATAGCGCTTTCAAAACCGTTGAAGCGTAAACAACGCGCTTTACAGAACATTTAAAATGCTACGTCCAAGAAATCCGAACACTGATCCATATATGAGGCTCATCGGATTATAAGATGCACTGTCGGCTTTTGAGAAAATTGAATGCTTTTAGGTGTGCCGTATAGTGCAGAAAATACGGTACTCTACCGGTAACATTTTCAGTAATGTTATTAGAACAGTGATTCTCAGTAGAGGGTCGGGTCCCAAAACTGGGACGTGGAGCCATTTTGGGTGGGTCTTGTACCTGCAACAGTAACAATAAAGATCTATCCTAAAATTTCAGACTATAAAACAGTTACAGTTACGTTGGTCCGCAGTCTTCATTTTCTCATTTTCTAGAAAAAAATGTAAAAACTATTGATCTTGCACTCCTAAAAGAAAAGAGGTCAGTGCCAATACATACATTTCTTCACATGCGGTTAAAAACAAAGAGTAAATCAATTTAAACTTAGTTGCTCGCCAAAGGAGCAGCAGCAGCAGCACACAAGCAGTCTCCCAGATGAATTCAAGTATGGAGTATTCTTATCATTAAAGATGATCGTACATCATGTGACATTGATTCTGGTAGACTGCAACATGCGGCTAGTCCACAACATTGAGTGTTTTTGATTTACTGCGCCCAGTCTGCATTAATTATTGCCATCTCTTTGTATTCCTCCCATAATACAGTAATCCACTGCTATTCATTTGGGTTACGGACAGAAATTCAATGCAAATAGTAAAAAAAAAAAAAAAAAAAAAAAAAAACAGAATTGTCAAAGTATTCAAAAAAAAAGAAAATTGTTCTAGAGATGTCATGCTCAAAATATGCACATGTCTGCCTCAAGCTAAGTTTGAAAGTAAACAAGGAGCTGTAGTGTCCACTGATGAAAAAAAGAGATGGGTTCACTTCTCCTGTCCCATGTAAATCCGCTTCAATTCCAAGCGCCGACTCTCTGTTCCAAATACGCATCCGCGCTCCCCGCCGACTCTCCTCTCTCTTCATCCTCGGCTCCAGCAGCCATCCATCATCCAGCCGCACCAAGGCAGACTGTCCAACAGTGCTGACATTACAGGCACAAAATCGCTGTCCATTACAGGCACAAAAAACAACCCCGGGGGCTGTCAAGTGGCAACACACAAATCTCGCCGACATTCCACCCTCTCAAAATCAGTGCTGGTCCACGGGTACTGCCAAGACCATGAACCATCAAGCAAACTATTCTTCTACTTCGAGGCATGTCGTGGTCAAAATACTGAAAACTGTCCACATTGGGTCCACATGAAGGACAACAAACACCATATGACAAAACAAAAGACAAAAAAAAAAGCAGAGCTGCCGCAGAGGGCTGTCAACTATGGCGCCATCTTGAGGTAAATTACTCGATTGATTTTGACTCCAACTTCGGTCGGGTGGAACCACACAGCAGCCGTACCACATGACAGAATGTGTCATGTAATCATCCCAAGTCAAGAGAGCTTGTCGGCGAGGGTAATGGAAGCGCCATAAGTGGCGCAATTAGCCCGGCTGGTTGGACAGCAGCCAGGCCCTCTGCTTCTAAATGCTTAACACGTCAACGGCAATCGCACGGAAAAATACATCCGGCGCTTCGAGCGATGATTGGACTCGCCAGGTCCGAGTCAAATGCAGTTTAACGGCTTTCTCTCTGGAGATGTTCCTGAGAATAACTTATGTGAAAGTGTTGAGTGGCCTGCTCGTAACCCCGAAACATGTCGCCACCGTTTTGTGTATGTTCTACTGACAAGTGTCTAGTGTTAGCACATCCTAGCGCGCATGGTAGGATGTAGCGAAAGCCTTGTAAAAACTATAGAGGCTTCCTACTTGAGCATATTGATTGACAAGTTAACAAAAAAAAAAAAGGCACTCTTATGAAAGGAAAACATTTGAATATCCTGATTTTCCCTTGAAGTTATGTTGCCTGTTTAGTGAATGATTTTTTTTTATTTCTGGCTTCTGATTGGGTCAAATGACCTGATGGTTATGGCTTACAATGCCACCTGCTGTTTCAGAATGCCATCTACAATCTTTTCCGAGACCCAGCCTTGATATGATTTGAGTATCCTGAGCTGCATGATGGAATAATACGAGTTTGATCAGAGAAGTGACTCATTTAGCGAGTGCCAACAAAAGAAATGGAAAAAGTTGTATATTTTAGACCATGAAAAAAGATTAGTCTAATTCTTTCTTGTTTGTTTTTTCTTTTGCTACATTGTTCCATTTGGTGTGTGCTCCTGGTTTCAGCTAGTTAAAAAAAAGGCCTGCAATGAATCCATATCAACCCATCAGATGTGAGTTCATTTTTTTTAAAAAAGGGACAATTTGATCCAAGAGGGGGGAAAAAAATAACACGATGGCATCCATCTTCATGTAAAACTGCCTCCCGTGGAGTCGTATGTCTTTCAACGAGCCAAGAAAGCAAACAAGATGCAGTTCGACCGCGACTGTGAGAGCATCCCGACTAAACGCCAGCCAGTTTTTCCTTCAAGGGGAACTTGTCTAAACAATAAAAGGAGCCGCTGACGTGTTCCCCTGGCGTGTGGGAAGATCTATTTGCTCGTCATTCTGACATAAATCTGCATTGAATTCTCGATTCTGCCTATTTTTACACTGCACTGCCAGGAAGAAGTGTGATGAGAACCACAGATCAGGAAACAGAAAAGAATCCTGTTCAATGTCAAATACTCGTACACCTATCTAATTTATCGGTGTTCAATTTTGAGATAATGGTTATTGTGGTGCTAAATTATTAGCACATAGCTATCAGAGGCTAACACATAGCTACATGGTTAGCAAACAGATAAAATAATTGCAAAATATGGGCATTTTCATTTTTCATTTCTTTTTGTCGCTGTTGTTTGTTCAATTTATCAAGCTAGTGTTAGCTCATCAAACACACAGCTAACAAAACCTTTCACTCAACTAAAGAAGGGCTTAATCTTTAGCACACAACTAACTCTGCCTGTCAAACAGGTACATAGTAAGCAAACACTAAAATTAAATTAAACATTAGTCACCAGTGGCCAGTACACAACTGATAAGTTTCACACAACTAGCACATCGTGATTGACCAGAGGCTAGGCAGCTATATAATTAGCAAACAGCCAAAAGAATCTAATACTATGGCCATTATTTGTCTCTTTTAGCAGGCTAGTGGCTAACACACGGAAAATAGAATATTTCACGCAACTAAAGCAGCATTAGCACACAACTAATATGACCCGTCACAAAGCTACATTGTTAGCAAACAGCTAGTGAGTGGCTAACACACAACTGATAAAGGGCTTTAATACAACTAATGCAGATTGAAACCATTTACACATACTAAATAATCTCTATAGACTGTATCTGCAATGTGGGTGGATCATGCCCTCAAAAAGAGGAGTTTGCAGAGTTTTCTGGATTCTTCCTGTGTGAGACGAGGGCAATAAAAGTAACGTATCACATCCTCTGCTGTCAAATATTAAGTGAACAGGAAGTTGGGGAAAAAAATGGACATGATGTTGTCAAACGCATCTTGCAATTTGCACATGAATTACGATCATTTTAATGTCTTCCAAGTGGACTTTTTCAAAGCCGCTCTGTATTTGGGCATTTTTATTTATTTATTTATTTATTTATTTCCATGTTTGGTTTTTTTGTGTTTTTTTTTTTTTTAAACACCCTTTAGCAGGAGTATGTACACTGTTTGGGGGTGGTGGGGATGAAGGTTCTGGAAATGCTAGCCCAGGATGCTATAGAAAAAAAAAACAAAAAAACTATCAGGGTACCTTACCTGAAGCAGATGCTGCTCTTCCCTCCAGCTTGGACGCAGGGATACTCCATGGTTATGATTTTATCATCCGGGCACTTGGCGCTGAGGAAACAAAAAGATTTAGGTGATTTTCTTTTCGAAAAGAAAATGCATTTGCTCTGGTTATTTAATTGAATTTTGGCCAATGATTGGTTCCAGGTGGCATGTGATTTCCCAAGTATTGGGTTACTTAATGCGTATTAACCACAATGAATATTACATTGAGTACAGAGACCATGTGCTTGTGCCTAATCCTCCTCTAACACAATGGACATTCTCGGATTTTACAGTGGTTAACTTCTGTTTGCTTTTGTGAAGAAAAATGGTTTTTAAAAAAATGTCCTTAAAGTTAATACAGAGTGTTTTATTCTTTGGAACATCTCAGTATACACTGGTTAACTTAATATACACAGCTGTCGGACTTCATAATGTTGAAAAAGTTGAATTATGTCCTTTTACATTGTTTTCTATGGGAAAAATTGTGGAAAGATCTAACTTTGCAACTTCCTACCTGTCAATATGCCCATCGATCAGTCTTTCAAGATATAGTACCTACCCATCTGTTCATCTACCTACCTACCGACCTATTCGCCGATCCACCTGTCATCAACCTACATATCTATCTGCCTCTCTATTCATATACCTATCCACATCCCATCAATCAATTAAATCAATCGTTTAACTAATCAGTCAATCATCCATCCATCCATCCATCATTCCTATCCATCTTCAATCAAAAACCAACCTAAAATAAATCAAACAATCAATCACTCAATCAATCCACATCTACCAACCAATCAATTTGTCCATCTATCTATTTATCCCCCTCTCTCTACAGTATCATCTCTATTTCATATGCATCTATCCATCTCCAGTCCCGAGCAACCTATCAATCACTCAAGGACTGAATCCATCAATCCATCCATCCATTCGTATCCATCTATCTACGATTAAGCAATCCATCAAGTTACCTAGCCATCTACCAATCCATCTGCCAATCCATCAATCATCCATCCACCTATGGATCAATCTGTCGCCTGATCAAGCATCCATCATCTGCCAATCCACACATCTAGATCGACATACTGTATCTATGAAGCCACCTTTCTGTCAATCTTTTCATCTATCCATCACCTATCATCAATCCATCCACCTGTCAATTCTTTTGATCTATCCATCTACCTTTCCGACTACTTCTCCAGCCATCCGTCCATCCATTAGAATGGACATAATTTCACTGACAAACACGAGTCTCGAGAAAGCACCTACTGTGAGTCATCCGTCCCGTGCGCGGTCCTGATGGAGCCAGCACCAGAGTGGCAAAGCAGGACCGCACACATGGCGGCGCCAAACGCTAGTAGAGTGGCACCATCAATGTGACCCATGTCCGTGACCGATGCTCCTCAAGCTGCTTCACTTCTTCACATGAGTGTGCCACCTCCAAAAACCAGAAGAAGGGGGAGGAAGAAGACTTTGTCCTCCGGCGGGACCGCAGCGTGATGTTGCGCGCATGTGAGCAGTAGTCGCTTCCGCGCCGTGCAGTCCACCCTGACTCGACGCACTGAGGCGGAGAAGGAGGACTTTACGGTCCAGTGCGCTGCCTCTAATCCCCCCCTTGGATTTACATTCCTGCCCCCCAGCCCGCCCCCGTTCCTCCTGAAAAGAAGAGGCTGATTTCAGAGACACACTCCTGCTGCTTTCACCACAAAAGACAATGCACAACAATTGGCTCATTACGGCGAATGTCGTTAACATGGCCCTATTATTGAATGGCCTTCAATATGGTAACAATTAAATTACAAAGTCAATTTAATTAAGTCCTTGTGAAGGTTTCCCAGAGCCACAAATCTCATTTCTTGTGGGAGAGACATTCTGACCAATATCTAGTCGACAGCCGCAGACTTGCAGCTCAGCGCCAGCGGATTTGCAGAATGCAATTTTTCTTTCTTTTTTTCCCCTCTCATTACCCGATGTGAAAACATATATTGAATGTTTATCAGTGTCTTTTTTTTTTTTTTTTTAAGAATTTGGGCAATTTAAAGAAAAAAATTGTTTGGGGATTTTTTTCTGCCCATGCATTTCACTGAGCATCAATTGTCAATTAAAAGCATTTTTTTTGCACTGCGGACATGCAGTGATTGCATAAAGTGGGAAAGACACGCGCGTCTAACATCCAGCCCACTTTTTGTCACCCAATTGCCAGATGCGCTGTGGGCCTGCAATAGAAAACGCTGGAACGCCTCTCGAGGCAGAGCGCGGTCTCAAATTCGATCTGTCCCGGGCACGAAAGTGAAGATGCGCTGAGCGCTTGGGCGCCTGTCTATGAAAATTGGGCCCGTGAAGTTGGACACACTTGCCAACCGATGACACTGACAATTCTAAATGAACCAAACATGCCAAACATAACGACAAACATAACACAATGACCAAACAGTCCTCTGTAATAAAAATAAAATATGCAAAGCTAAAACAGACCCCCATCAAGTTATTTAATAACATCTGTGCGATGGCGGACGATTTACTGGAAGCAGTATGATTTAATTCAGGAGAAATGTTTCTTAAAGAATTTACTGTTCTTGTGTACGGATGACACATTGCATTCCTTCATACTTATTTCTCTTGTGCACACTTGGTATGGGATGAAAGCCAAAAAGTTGTGAGATCAGAATGAAATCGGTCATTTTAAATGAGTAACTAAAATGGAACCTGAGCCAAAGTGCAATACACCGTATCGCTCAACATCCATTCATGCTGTCATAAGATCTCCCAGAAAAAAATAAAATACAAACTATGCCTGAAGAGTAAAATTAAACCACCAGACCAAAGTTTATTCTCCGATTACTATTCTGTGTGTAATGATTGGCGTGTAAACTGAGCAAGGATTGGATAAAGAGGCGATGAAGGAATCATGAATTCAAGTGGAATAAAGTCCAAGGGTGACCTCTGGATGAAACAAGTCGTTTAAAATGAGTGAGTGAAAGGAATAGCAGCCAAAAAAAACGACACAATGTCGTGCTCAACATTTCCAGCTTTCAAAATCTGACAGTCAAATAAAACACAGCTATAAAATGTTACAAATAAACCACTGGGCCAAACATTTGAAATCGCTTCCATTTTCATGGGGTTTTTTTTTCTCCACTTTTTTCATTTTCAGCTCCAGGAAATAACCATGAATAATGCTGAGGTTGTGATTAAAACAAAACAAAAGAAATGAATGAAAAATGATATTTGGTATTTGGAAAAAAAAATGTTAAGGAACACATACATACACACACACACACACACACACACACACACACACACACACACACACACAC